ATGTAAATGTGAAGTGAGCCCCCTAGATGAGCAACCAAGTAGCACTTGGGGCAAACGTCCTTTTTAAATTAAATATTTATTAAACAAAAAAAAATGAAAAATGTTACTATACTTGCGCTAATCCAAAAATAAAACATTTACGAAGGTGTGTGGCAAGTTTAATATTCTCAACTTGCGGGCTTTTAATTAATGTTCGGTTTAACATATTTTTATATTTATTTATATTATTTATTATTCGGTCCGAAATATTACCTTCAGTGATGATATAGCCTAGGCTATATATATCATCTCTTCCGTCAATATTTCGCCGAATCCACCTCGCTATAAATCGATAAATGATAAGTGTTATTAATTTCAAAAGGTATAATCTGATATATGAATTATTTATAATCTATTTATTTATAATTGACCGAAATATATCTAAGTAGTAATTACAGGGACCGCGTGGCTATGCCACTCAGGCTGGCTTGATTTTATCCAGTAATTTTTTTATCCACCAAGAAAGTGGGGAACCACTTTAATTTAATTTTAATATGTCACCGAATGAAAAATTGAATTAAAGTGTAACAATCCCCAGTTGGGACACGAGAAAAACTCAAAACTGGAATAAAGTTTGAAACACGACAAACAAAGTCGAGATAGAAGAAAGATTTTAATTCATACGTTTCATATTCTCAACTTGCAGGATTTTAATTTTCGGTATAATATACTATTTGTAGACTCTCCGCTTGGTGGATTCGGTGAAATATTACCTTCAATTATGATATCATCACTTCTGTTACTATTTCGTTGAATCCACCAGTCACTCTAGGTCTATAAATTATAAGTGTTATTTATAAGTGCTGTTTATAATTGACCGAAATATATCTAAGTACAATTGCAGAGACCGCGGAGCCTGTTTAAAAGGGGGGGCAGGATAGCACGGGAGCTATGCCACGCAGACAAGCTGGCTTTTATCCAGTAATTTTTTTTATCCACCAAAAAAGTGGGGGACCACTTTAATGCTGTTCAATGTCAACGAATGAAAAGCTAAAAAAAAAAGTGTAACAATCCCCTGTTGAGGAACGAGAAAAACTCAAAACAGGAGTAAAGTACGTTTGAAACACGAGAAACAAAGTCGAGATAGAAGAAAAAATTTAATTCATACGCAAAATTTGAATGGCATGAAGTGATATCCATGTATATATGGTATGATTTTTTTCTTTAGTACCTTGAGCTGAGGTTTAGTTATGGAGTGAGAATACTTGGCAATATCATGTTTGTCATTCATTACGTAAGTGTTTAATGTGTATATGTTATTAAACCGATGTCTTTTTCACTATTTTCATTATATAAATTATTTTTCCTTATGGGACATCGAGCATTTTTTTCTGAAAGTCTACAGTTCCTCGCGGCAGGGAAAAAAAGCGCGACAATTCCCATGCATAGAAATAATATATATAGATATAGAATGCGTAGTTGATCACGGATCACGTCTCCACTTTTCTGTGCCCCTACAAATCCGCAATGATGAATTTGACTAGGAGTACAAACTACTAAGTATAAACAAAGCTAAAACTACGTTTTCATCGTCAAAACGTTTTGTCTGGTTGTAGTCTAGGACCTGTATATGGGTTTGTATGCTGTTCATTTAGGACAGATAATCTCAACTGTTTTAGGGCAAGTTGACCATGACGGTCGACATGGTAACGCTGCCCGAACCCCAATCCGGGGCGAAACGTCCGAAACTGATCACACCCAAAAATGACGCTCTCGCCGTAGTGCTATCTACCAAACTATAAAAGCTTTGACTATTCTGAGGTGCTTGTATGGTTCAGAGATGGTGCTTTTAGGGGTGATCATTGGTAGCCTAAGTGTGAAATGCCTAGCACTGATATTTCACAAAAAATGACCATACAATACTCATAGTCAAACGTCAATTTGTGACTTACAAATTCAGATAAACAGCAGTGGATGTACATTATCTTTTTTCCTAAATCTTTTTTATAGAAACATAATTGGTACTTATTTAAGTATATTATCACTGATTTGCTGTAAAATAGTTAATACTTTGTGACCGAAATAATGATTTGAAATGTACCTACCCCCTACAAATGGACGTATTTGGCCAAATTCTCCACTTTACTTCGCTGTTTATCGCCAATATCGTTGAAATCCTTCCAAATATCTACGGCAGCTCACAGAGAATGGTACCAGGCACATTTTAAAATAGGTTTCAAGCAGATCCTAGCTGTTTAACCATTAGCCTGCATGGCAGGCGGTCTAAAATACCGCCTGCTGGGTTTGGCAGTGTAATTTGATAACCGCCCACTTTTTTGTCCGGGTTCAATTAGCCAATCAGCAAACACTAAATATATTAATAATCAAACTGTCAAACTATGTTATTGTTTGGTCGCAAAATTGCAAATGTATAAAAATATGTCGAAGGAAACGCCATTGAAAATTTCAATCAGGACCGAATAAGGCGAATAACGACAGGAGGTAGAAAAGCAAGCGCGGAAAATGTAAATTACTTGTCGTTTGTTTAAGTGTGCTTTGAAACTAAAATACGGGGCAATACGCCAATAGAGAAAATATCTTATATTCTTATATATCGTCGGAGAAATTATTTATTTAAGCCAAGCAAAAGAAACGTTACGACAGTGGTAAAACCTTGGCCCAAATAAGCCGAATTGTCGGTTCAGTTCATTTAGGAATCGAAGTTAATTCTACCTCGGAACTATCCGACCAAGTTTGTGAACCGTGTGAGCGAAATATCCGAAATGCAAGCGAACTGATTGCCATAAAATAATCAAACGAGACACAAACGCGTTGCCTGTGTACGTTCGAACAAATAGACAGTTGTATATTAAAAACCTCAGTTGCCAATATGAAGTGCCTCGTCTCCCTAACGAATCCGTGTGGTACTAACGAAAGCCTTAAAAAGTTCAGAGAGTGAAGCGGCTAATAAGCATAGGCATAATAGTCCTGTTATAAAACCCGTTGCAAGAAAGACTATACGGCAGTATGTATCTATTCTCGTTATATTTTCTCGCGCCAACAAGAACAATGTAAAAATCAAGGTTTCCCATAGAATGGCCAAAACATTTTTTCCAAGGAGTAAATCTTTAACTGCTATCTCTTGCTCGCGTTTGACAATCAGTTCGCGTTTCGACTTTCGAGAAGCGTTCTGTTGTACAACACCTATTAATTAAAGCGAACGCATGCAAAGCGTCAAACGTATGTTTACATATTAAAGTGTATTCACTTTTGAGTGACAGCGGCTCAGACTCGCAGCCAATCATCAATTCCCGTCCACTGGTGGACGGGGAATTCGATTACACTGCCACATCCAGCAGGCGGTATTTCCCAGGCTTGCCCAATTTTAGGAACCGCCTGCCATGCAGGCTATTTAACTATCGACAAGGTAAAACCACAACTTTGTCCAATTCGGCGCCATTTTGTCATCCCATGTCGGTTGTAAATATTTTGCTCTTGTTATTCTTCCATCCAAGCCATTTTCATTCCAATAATAATAAACTGAACCCTTTGTTAAGGGTATCAAAATAAATATATAAACAAAATAGAAAAAATACGGTGGCCCACAAGTGTCATACAAAACTTTCTTTCATACGACTAAACTTTTATTCATTACGACAAGTCTTTCTTTTGAAGAGACCAAACTTTCTTTTGAACCGACCTAACTTTCTTTTGAACCGACCAAACTTTCTTTTGAACCAACCCAACTTTCTTTTGAACCGACCAATCTTTCTTTTGAACCGACCAAACTTTCTTTTGAAGCGACCAAACGTTCTTTTGATATTAGCTGCCAAAGTTTCTTGGGAGTTGGGGAACAGGCGAGCAGCGCGAAAACTTTGACATTCTTTGACATACTTTGTGTATAAAATACTAATAACAAATAAAACAGAATTAAAATGGCTAACGAACAGTTTGACGTTTTTGATGAAGAGCATGAAATAGAAAACGACTACGAAGAATTAATCCGCTATTACTTTTACAAAGGTTTCACTTACGAAGAAATTCGTAAGTTTCTCTCTCAATATCACAATAAAGAAATGAGTCTTAGCATCTTAAATTAAAGAGACATATAAAAAGACTTGGTTTACGACGACGCAATGCTGAATATGATATTGCTTTAGTAAGAAATGCAATTATGTCACTATTGGAGGGTCCAGATTGTTCACGTGGGTACAGCTCGATCTGGCATACTCTACAAATGAATGGAATGAGAGTATCGAAGATTGGTCGTGGAACTGCTGCTCCATGAAATTGACCCGGAAGGAGTATCTGAGAAAAGAAAGCATCGACTGAAAAGAAGAATATATTATAATCCTGGGCCAAATTAAGCCTGGCATTGTGACGGTTATGACAAGTTAAAACCGTTCGGCTTTCCTAATCATGGGTGCATTGATCGCTCGAGCCGAAAAATCATATGGCTGTATGTCACCCGTTCAAATAACCTTCCAAGTAACATTGCCAAATATTATCTTGAAGCAGTAACTGCATGCAATGGTTGTTCCATTGATCTTGTGACAGATTTAGGGACAGAAAATGGTATTATGACAGGCATACATTCCTTTTTTCGTAATGATCCTAATAGTCATCGATATGTGCCTTCTCCGCGCAATCAGCGGATTGAGGGCTGGTGGTCATTTCTCCGTAAGAACCAGACCTCATGGTGGATAAATTTCTTTAATGACTTAAATGCGGCCGGTATTGTAAATTTGGCAGAACCATTAGAGAAAGAATGTCTCTGGTTTTCATTCGCAGGGTTGTTACATTAACATCTCAATGAGACATGTGAGCACTGGAACACCCACTACATTCGAAAATCCCATAATGACACAGTAAGTGGACGATCATCTGCACTGTACTATTTACCATCTGCATATGGGGGTATGCCAAACTTTTATTACCAGCACCTGAAGATCATATGAACTATGTTTGTGTGATGTTACTCTGAGTGTTTATCCACACCGGCCAGGCTTGAAAAATATGCCTGGCCACGACGGGATTCGAACCTACGACTTTTGGAATACTAGCCCAATGCTCTTCCAACTGAGCTACGCGGCCAGGACGGTTCGAGTAAGCGATATTTCGGAACTGAGCCGAGTTCCTTCGATATCAGTGTAATCTAATAATCATGAAATCTGCTCATTCTCGCACCCAGAGCCCTTCTTACGCGCGTTCGACCGAGCGCGACGAGGGGCTCTGGCCAAATCCATATCAAACTGGCTTCTGATTGGCCACAACGAAATATATGGTTTATTGTATAAAATATGAATAAAAATCAAGCGCTCCATGAAGCGTTGGTTTCGTTTTGGAGAAAATTGGCAGAAAAGACATTATTAAAGTTGAAAGAACAGCAGTACGAAGTAGTTAGGAAGATTGTTGTTGATAATCGCCCACAAAAGCGGTAGATGTCGCTAATTTTATTTATTTAAATCAATTAGTTTATTGAAATTAATAGGTTGAGACGTGATATTCTCATAGCAAAAAGTCAGCATATTTATGGCAGATGCTCGTCGTATTTCCAAATGTTAATCAAACAAATCTGTGTTACATGTTCAAAGCTGAAGTTCCATCTGAAGAGAAAATATTAAAGCCAGCCAGAATATGAAGTTAATTGTGATGACTATTTTCGTCCTAGAAACCGATTTTGTACAATTTTCAAAGGATTTGCAGTATAGTATATCTTATGTATGACTGTTGACTTTTAATAAAACACAAAAAAGTCTAAAAATCAGTACAACAGCGACTTAAAATCGAATATAAAATAGTGAGACAATCTCTCGTCTTCGTATCCGTATCCATTACTGCTTTGACAACGTTTAAGAGGGAAATATATACTAAATTTTATTATTATTATTATTATTATAAATTTCCAAACTAGCAGTAACAACTGAATTACTTTGGAATTACAGGGTATAAGAACATAGGTATTCAATCTATTCTATATTTACAGGTAAAAATAGGTAAGTTAGATAAAAATAGCGATAATAATCTAAAGTTTACTTATTATTATAAGCACGAGACGCAGCAGGAATGAAACTGTTCGAAAAACGTTCAGTTCTACACCTATAGGTACTAATAAGTTGGGATAAGACCTCAGATTATAAGTTTGAAGACTTTTAGGCGGTACTAAGGCATTCAGTTTATGAGTGGGTTCCAACATCTTCGAAAAAAGTCGCTTGCAAAGAACAGTTCTACGTTCGTAAAGAGGCATCAAGTTAGCTTTAAGCAAACATTCAGCATAGATAGTTCCAGGGAAAATAATTTTTAATGCCCTTTTTTGTATTTTTTCAACTTGATCACTCGGGTAATGAGGAAGGCCATAATGCCACACCTGACAAGCATATTCGACAATTGGTCGAATATGTGTACAATAGGTTGAGATCAGAATATGAGAAGGTAAAGCATTTCTTTTAAGAAGGCGCAGACCGTACAAACGCTTCGCGGCTTTCTTGCAAATGTAGTCAATATGGCAGTTCCATTTGAGGTCGTCCGAAAGGACAATGCCCAATAGTTTGGCCTTGGAAACGACGTCGACCTCTTGACCGCGAATGGTAATAGGGGCAAACCAGGGCGTAGTAAAACACGGGCGAGGAAACGCGCGGTAATCGCGCTGATCTATGTGTGATGCGGCTGGAGACTGGCGAAAGCGCGCGTTTTGCGAGAAATACAAAAAGAACGGCACAAAAATGGCAACAAAAAGATTTGCCGAAGACTACGAAATAACAAACGAAAATATAGGTAAGTTTTAAATTATTACATAATTATTTAACGTAATTTGAAAGAAACACTATTATACTTCAGCTTTACTTAATTAAAATAAACAAAAAGCGCATTGCGTTGTAAAATGTCAATGTTTTAAGAAATGTTTTGATTTTTGTTCCCTTCAAAATTTGTTATTTTTGCGCACAAAGTCAGGTTTTAATACGAGTTTTTTAACGCTCTAGGTAGTCCTAGGTGAATTTGATAGCACAAAAAGTTTCCCAAATTAACATACTTGAGAATAATTAAAATTAAGAGTCGGACTTTTTTGGACTTTTTTTGCTATAACTTTTTTCCCTGAACATAGTGCTGTTCATCATTTGTATCGCAAGGAGAAGCAACGCAAGTTAACACGAAAGTTTTTAAAATATCAAGCGGAACATTTTAAATATTGTTCAATCTAATTATATTGCCACAATATTTGATTTTAGATCATTCCCCAAGCCGTCAAAGACATAATTAGTTCAAAAACAATTAGTTTCAAAAACAATATATAGATCATGTCAGCTCGATAAAGTACAGCGTATACGGCCATTTTAGAGGCCATGTTTACGTTTTGAAAAAGAACCGCGGAAAAATTGTATTTTTGCATGTAGTTTTTTTCCTAGGTGTGAAACATCCCCTAAAAAATTGTACAAACTGAAATCAAGTCATAATATATCAGAAATTTTTTAAAAGAAGACAGACTTTTTCGTCAAAACATATTTTTTTAGCCTTGAATTCCAACATTCCAACAGGAAAAGACATGCATTTTGAACTCGATTTTGACGACATTTTTTCTTTCAGTTTGACAAAGCGCGGACGTATTTAAAATAGTGTTTTCTCCTCGTTGAGATAGGTTGAGATAAATTTCAACACACCAAACTATAGACATTTAACTTGGCTTTATGTCTCACGTAAAATTGAACGGGGCTTTTTTGTGCTTTTTTCATAAAATGGAGATATTTTGCAGCCTTTATAGTTTTCCGTAACACTGTCACTGTAATGTCAACGACTGCAGTCGCACGAAAAAAGATATACCAATAATAGAAATCAAATCAATTAGTAAAAAACAGTTTACAATGAACTTTCAATGGATTCCGAGCAGGCCGGCTCATGGACATGGTTAACACAAAAACGGTTATATATTTAAGTTTTCAAATTGTTCCAGCAAATTGTAGTTGTTTTTTTCAAATTCTAGCTGTTTTAAATGCATGCATGGTCAATTTTTGGCTATATAATTATTGAAAAATAATAGCCAAGCAATGTCAGAATATTCTTACTGTGAAAATGTTTATCCTACCTTCGCATTATGAAGTAAAGTATCCCATTTCATACCAAAATTTTCGTATAATATTTTTGGAATATGCCCACATTCGATCAGCTCGATTCCTTTTCAAATTTTTATTTCGATCATGATGAATCTTTTTAAAGCCCTCTTTCCTTCATCAGATATACAGAAAATGAATCCAACAATGTCTTCAAACCATCAAGTTGTTTAGGAATGTGCAGAAAACAGTTTTTACTTTAGTTTTTTCAGCTCTTTTTTGCATAAACATTCCAATTCCATTTTTATTGACATTAAATTAATGCATACGGGGGGTACGCGCATCACACAAAGATCAGGGGCGCTATCTCCGTTTCACCGCCCGTGTTTTATAGCGCCCTGGTACGAATTACTGTGACGAAAAAGCAACTTAATGATACAATTGAGGTAGGTGATCTTCGAAACAATCCATTCGAGCCAACCACGAACTCACTCAAGGC